CCCTTGCCCATCTTGGTTAATAAACAATGCCAAGCACGGGATTGGGATCTGGATCTTGGAAGTGATTAACGCTTCTCTGAGGGAGGGTTGGGTACCTGCCCCTTTAAAGGAGGCGGTAGTCCGACCGGTCCTGAAGAAAGCGTCCCTGGATCCAGAGATGGCCACTAATTATAGACCAGTGGCCAACATCCCATTTCTGGGCAAGGTGTTGGAGCGGGTGGTGGCGGGACAACTCCAAGCACTCTTGGATGAAACTGATTATCTGGACCCATTTCAGTCCGGCTTCAGACCCGGGTACGGTACTGAATCTGCCTTGGTCGCCCTGTACGATGACCTGTGCAGGGAGAAAGACAGGGGGAGTGCGTCCCTGTTGGTTCTTCTGGACCTCTCAGCGGCTTTCGATACCATCGACCATGGTATCCTTCTGGATAGGCTAGTGGGATTGGGGGTCGGAGGCACTGCTTTGCAGTGGTTCCGCTCCTATCTCAATGGCCAATTCCAGAAGGTGGTGCTGGGGGACCATGGCTCTGCACCATGGCAGCTATGCCATGGAGTACCACAGGGATCCATTTTGTCCCCTTTGCTGTTTAACATCTACATGAAACCGCTGGGAGAGGTCACCAGGAGGTGTGGGCTGCGGAATCATCAGTACGCTGATGATACCCAGCTCTACCTCTCGTTTTGCACCAATCCGGTGAGGCAGTGGCTGTGCTGAACCGGTGCCTGGCTGAGGTAATGGGCTGGATGAGGGCCAATAAACTGAAGCTCAATCCAGACAAGACGGAGGTCCTGTTGGTCAGCAGATCGGGCTTCGGGGAGGGTGAATTGAACCTAGTCCTGAATGGGGTTGCACTCCCTCTTAGGGACAAGGTCCGCAGCTTGGGAGTGCTCCTCGACCCAGAGCTTTCATTGGAAGCTCAGGTGACAGCGGTGGCGAGGAACGCTTTCTTTCAGCTTTGGCTGCGCCCCTACCTGGAGTACGACTGCTTGGCGACAGTGACACACGCGTTGGTGACTTCCCGACTTGACTTCTGTAACGCGCTCTGCTTGGGGCTACCCTTGAAGACGGTCTGGATACTTCAACTGGTTCAAAATAGAGCTGCCAGGCTGCTGACGGGGACTGGGCATTATATTCACATGACTCCAGTCCTCCGTCAGCTTCACTGGCTTCCCATTGAAGTCTGGGCCCAATTCAAGGTGTTGGTGATGACCTAAAAAGCCCTTAACGGCTTGGGTCCTGGTTACCTGAAGGAGCGCTTACATCCATATATGCCCACCCGCCCCTCAAGATCTGCGGGAGAGGCCCTTCTCCGGGAACCCTCCATGAAGGAAATTAGGAGGGTGAGTACTCGGAGGAGGGCTTTCTCTGCGGTGGCGCCCAATCTATGGAATGCGCTCCCCAGAGAGGTCCGCCTGGCGCCGTCGTTATTTGTTTTTCGGCGCCAGGCAAAGACCTTTTTATTCAAATGTTAATTTAATTGTTAATATTATTTATTTATATTATTCTTTGGGCAGGGCGACTTAATTTATATTGTTAATTTATATTATTGTATTGAAGTTTATTTATGGTTGTGAGCCGCCCCGAGGCTTCGGCGAATGGGGCGGCATAGAAGTCTCCTAAAGAAAGAAAGAAAGGAAGGAAGGAAGGAAGGAAGGAAGGAAGGAAGGAAGGAAGGCAGAAGGAAAAGGGAGGAAAAATTGTTGTCACAGCAAGGCTGCACTGTGGATTGCTTCAGCATCTCTGAGAGATGCAAGCCTCTGAACACAAGTTAGCCAGGGGACATATGCAGGAGGGTGAGTTGCATTCATCCTGCATGTGGATCTCCCATAGGCAGCTTTGTGAGAACACAACGCAAGGCTGGATAGTCCCTTTGTCTGATTCTGCACGGCTCTTCTTACATTCTGAAATGCCATGCCGGTGAATGCAGGCTGTTTTGCTTCATGCAAAAGGGTGAAAACCTAACCAGGAAGGGATAGATGGAACCTCGCTACACAGCACATGCAGCAAGCTGTGAACAAGACAAAGGGGCTTGTGGGCATCCCAAAAATATCTGGCTGGCTCCTACAGGAACAGACTGCTAGATGAGAGAGTTCTTTTGTCCTAGCCAACAAAACTCTCCTTCCATTCCTACAAGAGTAGTTATAGTCTCTCCTGATGTCTTTAAGCCAAGTCAAGCTGAATTGGTAAGGTCTGCTTGTCCTGGAGGCTATATTACTTAATAAAATAAATAAGTGCAGGTAGAGGCAACTTTCTTCCAATTCTAAAAGAGCACTTGTATGAGAACTTTATATACATTGATGTGTTTATTATATTCCACATTGTTTTATTAAGAAATGCAGCAATTTTTATGCGAAGGAACTTCACATTTATACTATCTGTCCTCCATAAATAATGTTATTGGCTTACTAAGGAGGCTGAAATAATAGAGTTCAGCTTGTCTTTATAATGCACACAGTGTAGAAATGGCAGCATTTTAATGCTATGCAGATACAGTAATCCTGTACTATGAAATCCACTGATGATTCCTCTTCCCCTTCTGCTCATTATGCCCAATGAACAGTTTGTGACAATTCAAATAGCATCTTAAGGATGATGGGGTTTCTGTACCTCCATGCAGGAAAGGGAATCTATGCAGTGGGAGAAAATCCGTATTTGTGCAGTTTCCCCACTTCTCTTCTATACAGAGGATACAAAAGCTGTGCCTCTGCCCCCGCCCCCCGGTCGCCCTGGTGTGTGTATGGGAAGGAGGGAGGAAGATTATTTGTTATTTTCCTAAGTAGGCTGAGGTTCTGTATCGTCTGGCTGTTTAGCAGAAATTAACAAAAATATTCAGAAGTTTAAGTTTAGGGTAGTAAGTTTAGAGTAGTAAGCTTCTGTTTAGATTGCAAAACATTCATTTAGGATTAGCCCTACTGATCTACTTCCAACATCTTCTCACGCTCCATGTTAATTTTCAAATTATTGTCTTACTGATTTTTGTATGTCTCCAGGTGGTATTTCCCTACTGAGATTTATAACCCTTCCATATAACTGCAAGGTCTAAATGCAAATTGTTACAACTGTTGCTGCTGGAAACAGAAAGCTGGATTAAACGGATCTTGCTCTGATCCAACCCTGCTCTTATCTGCCTGATCAACATCTCTTTCCTACATGTCTCCCATCTTCCCAAACTTACCCATCTCAAGGAGTACATGCTCCAGATCACGTAATGCAGATTCATTGACCCAGTTTTCGTGTCCCACTGGCAATCCTGCGTTTAACCCAGGAACCGCAGGGATGAGTGAAATGCACAAATCATGCACTCATTTCCATTTTTAATTGACAATCCAGGTGCAAAGCTGGAAATTCCAGGCTCCTGATGGGTTAAAGAACCAAGTTAACCCAACAACGAACCGTGGATACATTCTGGATTTGCACTTAACAAAACAACCCAGGAATCAGGGCATTCATGGGGTATTAATTAACAACAGAAATGACTCATACATTCTCACTCATCCCAGTTCCTGAGCTAAGTAATGCAAGAATTCACATGAAAACCCAATCACCTCTCACATTCTGTGACACTCATAAGATCTGACCACCTCCCTCCCAAATGCTAGAAACTATTTTGATGAACCTGTTCTGTTTTTTAAAAAAATATTATTAGTATGGTAGTTGTAAGCCTCTCTTGGTTATTTCTACATGCAAAAGAAAGAAAGAGTATGGTAAAGAAATTATATTCAGATGCAACATGAGTTTTTCTAGCCTTTTATCCTGGAACAGGGTCAGTACCAACAGTTACAAGAAGTCCTTTAAAAATGAAGCTGAACACAAACAACCAAGGGTGGGAAGAGAATCAAATGTTGAACATGGTTATGTCAGTTAAGCAGCGCACCATTTTCCTTTCTGCTGTCTATATGTTCATCAGTACCTTCCCACCTCTCCAGTCTGACCGCTCTTTAGAGGGCTGCATCTGGAAAGTCCCAGATTCACTCCCTGGTATCTCCTGGTGGAGCTGGGAAAGGACCCTACCAGACCCACCATCAGTCAGTGCTGACATTAAGCTAGATCAGGGTTGCCTACTGGCTGGATAAGGCCAACAGGTGCTCCCACCTGTCCTGACAGCTTCCAGAATGCAGCCCCCCTGAGAGCTTCTCCAAAGCTGAATCCAGCTGCTAAGCCAAAGACGAGATTCCCCATGCCTTGTTGAGACGAGCTGATGACACAACCCAATAAAAGTCAGCTTCCGATGTTCCTGTGACTTTTGAGGCAACTCATCACCTATTAATCCAAAACCATGGCATACAATTGCACCTAGGAAGCAAATGTTTCTTTTGGGTACCTGAACATTCAGTATCCCAAACTGACCATTTTTTCCAGCAAACACAACAGTATCTTAGCTATTAAAAAGATTTCTATCACTTCGGCCAGTCTGCATGAAGGCCACACGCTGTGCCAACTCAAAACAGCAAAATGTTTTGTGATGGCACTTCCTGTTGGTTCACCTAACACCCTCCTGCTTGCTTTTCAACTTGTTCCTCCGACCAGAATTGTCAGTAGGAAATCCTTTGGAGCAACTCTCCTTACATGCTTCTCTCTGGAATTCCTTTCCTCTTAAAATATTCAGGGTTCTGTGTACATCAAACTAAAGATATTAAAATTTTGCATCCAGACACAGTCTGGGGAAAAGCAGATTCTGCATTCTATATCCATTGCACCAATCTGCATGGTTCATCATTTTTTGCTTAATTTCTTTCTAGCTTTGCTGGTCATGAAAAGGGACAAGGCACTTGAAGCCCTACTCAGAGCCACAGGAAACCTTAGCAACTGCACTGATTTCAATGGTTGCAAGAAGGTGCTGTCCACAAATGGACAAACACTTTTTTGCAGTCACAAGAGCTAGAAACACATTTTCAAACAATGAAATCCAGCATCCTCAGAAAACTGAATCCTGTGCCTGGAAGTACATTCTGCACTTCCAGAGATTCACGGCATACTCGGCCACTAACAAACAACTCACCCTTTCAGATAATTCCAAGCACTTTCATTATGAGGCACCATCTTGATCATTTCTAGGGTAAACCTGAAAAAGGACAACAAAATGTCTCATGAGCCAATAGCGGAAATAGAGCCATATTCCAGACGTCAAAGAATTCTTAATTCCAAACACAGAGACAGACACACTGACAGCCAACATGGGACAATACATTGTGCCCTTACTTTCTTCCTCCTAGAATAGAGATAGTTCTGCAAGGACAAAAAAGCTTCCTAAATAAAGTCAAAAGACATGAAGAAGAATGCACAATACGCTTCAAAATTGCTTTGCTAAGTATATAGTATTGAGTAATTTGCTTGTTAAAAAATATTCAAGAGCATGTTTTTCTATCCTCATCAAGTGAGAAAACTAAGATATTAAAAAGAAAAAATAGGAAAAGGGAATGCCTGTAAGAAAGTGCTGCAACATGGACTGCCTGGAAACCTGAACAGAAATGCTCAATTTTCCACATGTTCTACCCCAAATAACCAGGCTGTATTTCACCCCTACTGTGCTCTGTTCATACGGGCATGTCTTCCCCTCACCCAAAGTTTCTGTCTCCTCCTTAAACCTGTGCGCTTCCCTCTTTGCCCTCTTGTTTGTGCATGGTCCTCGTTTTTCTACAAAAGGACAGTCATGCAGATATTTGAGATCCCTATTATGCAGAAACTGCATATCTGGCATCTCAGGTTAGCAAGAGGAGCTCAGACAATTCATGCTGTTTTCTTTTTTGCCTACAACAAAGGTAAATGGCACTAGATGATGCCACATATAATATTACTTACTGGACTTCTCTGTCTAGAACAGCAGGATCATCATAACCAGTTGTGTTTGAAATCACAAAGTATCGTTGGTTCCAAACAGAATTGTTCCTAACATCTTCTTTCAAAAGTTGTTCCACATACTCCAGCTCATCATCCCATAGTTTAAATTCCTAATGCACAATGTAAGTGAAAAATATTAGAAGAGGAAATAACTGCCTCATTTTCCCAGACAATTGTAATTAATCATTTTTAGGATTGTTAGCATGAGTTTCCAGATGAACATAACATAATTTGGACAAGTCAATCTTACTGAATGGGAGAGGCAATTGACAGTAACAACAATTAGCAGATTAAAAGCATCTTGAATGCCATATATTAGAGAAGGAATCATGAGACTAGACCGCTTGATCCGAGTTTAAGTGTGTTAAGGCAATTATCTATACCAGTTCCCATCACTCTAGCATGACTGAGAAAATTCAGTATCAGGGACACAAACTCTGTCCAAGTTGCTTTTCTCAGCAGCCATTCTCTTAAAAGTTAAAAGTGGCACAACTAGGGGCGACCCTGTAAAGGAGGCAAAGCCTGCCTCCCCCTGTAGCGGACAGCTTGGATTTAGTGAACAGGATTCTGCCATGAGTTGCACTCTCCATGGCTCTTTGCAATATATAAGCCCCCCTTTTCTACCCATGAAACAATGTAAATTTTGCTAGTAAGAGCAACATCAAAGTACCTGAATGACCCACTGCCTATGCTGCCATGCATGGTAGTTCTTAGCATCCTGGTTAAGAATGTCAGCTATAAATTCAAGTTCTTGGGATGGATCCTGCAGCCATTCTACCAACACTCTTCTGTGGTGCCTAAAAAACAAGATGTCTTTATTTTCAAAACAGTACACATTCAGTTCCTCTCCGATGCATTTGATTTTTTAAACAAAGCAAACAGAATAAAAGCATAAATATAGTTATTACTACTGCATCACCCTACAACAGTATTTACCAGGAAACAGAAGAGTGCAGTGAAAAGGTAACTGAAGAATGAGTGCAACAGGTTGTAACAAAATGGCCAAATAAGATGATTTGCATCTTATACGACTCGGCATGATAGGTTGCATCACTTGGTCTCACACCACTTTGCTAAAAGTGTAAGCTGCTGTTGAAAAGTATTGTGCTTGCAGAGAGGTTCTCCCTGTAGTAACTAATCTAAGTATCTCCTTGGCCCATCATAGACATCATGAGATGCAAGTGCATGTGTGTAGTTGGACGTGTTTTCCACGCACAATATTCCTAATTGTCCATTCAGGAATGCACTGCAGGGGGCGTCCCCTCCCAAGTTGCAAAATTTCAATACGCACAATCCTAATAGATTACTTTAAGAAAACTGACCAACCACGCATTCTTCCTGATAGTAAATGAATTCCAGCCAATGTGCAAGAGCAGGAGGCCATTGTTCCATTTGACAGGTAAAAACAATAAATACTACAGCTTGAACAATGCAAGCTACCAGTTCCAATGCTGCAGCAAAGCAGCTTTACAAGGTTTAGGTATCCACTTGATTTGGGGATATTATTAACAAACAAACAAACAGAAGAAATACATAGATTTTTGCATTAAGCATGCACCAGCTAGTATGTATCAGGGTATCTTGGAAGAGGATTTTTCTTCTCCAAAAGAGACCAGGAGAAAGATCAGTGTAGCAGGCTGAGGGTTGATTTATGACTAAGCAGCCCCAGAGGCTGAAGGAGAGGACTTTGAATCCCTAACTTGGCAAGCAATATTACAGTTGTGTGGAAAACCAAACTCAGCTCATCTTGCCAAAGACAGGGACTGAGGGTGCCTAATTAAAACCACCCACCAACCTGCTGAACTCACACTGAGGAAGATTAATGAGCAGCAAAGACAGGCATGAATATAGCTGCTTGTCCGGTTGCCTATGGCAAGTGAATTTTCCTGCTGAGGTGACTGGGCAGGAGAGTTCACAGAAGTGATGGGCATTATGCCATAAAGAACGGAAACAAGTGTGGGCAAGCAGGTGAGCAACTACTTTTGCTGACTAGCATTTTGGTGGACTTAGTCGCCAGGGTGAGTAAGAGGGCATTTTTGTCAAACCAGTGGAGACTTTTTCTTAAAAATAACAGGAAGAATAAAGCAGACTACAAACAATATATGGAAGATTCTAGGGCTGCAATCCTATGTACTCTTACTTGGGAATAAATCCCATTGCACTCAGTGGAGCTTGTTTCTGAATAGATATGTATATAATCATACTGGTTGTGTGCACAGAACCTTTTTTAAATTAATGTTCAGGTCACAAAGATGTTCTATGTAAGCAACATGTGCATTCTGTGCATACAGGGTGTTCATTAAAAGCACAGGACTGGGACTCAGACGACCTGGGTTCTAGTCTCTGCTCAGCTATGGAGCCAACTAGGTGACTTTGGCTAGTCATTTTAAGCAACATTTTAAATGCTAAATACAATTGAATTTTATCTGGCCAGGGCGGCTTATTTTATAATGTGAGTTTTAATCAAGATTATTTTATATGGATTTTAACTTGTTTTATCTATGTTGTAAGCCGCCCCGAGGCTTCGGCGAATGGGGCGGCATAAAAATGTTTTAATAAATAAATAAATAAAATAAATAGTCACAGACTCTCAGCTCAACCCACCTCACAGGGTTGTTGTTATGGGATATAAAATGAGAGCAACACAAGAGTATGATGTAAGCTGCTTTGAGGCAGGATAAAGATCTAATTAATTAATTAATTCCCAACAGATGACTACGAACAATTTAGCTGATATTCTTGCCCTTTGGGCTGAGAAAGCTCAAATGATAAACAAAGTCAAAAACTGCCATAAATCAGCCTATTTTTTAAAACAGATTGTGCCAGGACATATAAAATGAAGCACTGGGGGGGTGTTTACCAGGGGGTACAATATTTGCAAAAGACACCTTCTAGATGGCTAATTATACAGACAGTAGCCAGTAAGATAAGTTACTCTCCCCCGCCTCAAAAAAAGCCACACACACAACCCCACAGCAGTGGTGCATTAATGAACGCATTAAAAATCAAGTACAGAAAAAACAATTCATATAAGAGATAAGGGTGACCCAACCATATGAAAGATACAGAGGCTAATTGTACTGCAATGCAGATTGGAATGCTGTTTGTGGATCATGTCTAACAGCATATTTTTCTCCTATTTAGCAGGTATCACTTCTGTATCTTGTATGGTTCTTCTCTGCCCAAAGAAAGTTCTGACTGGACAGATATATTTATTAATGTGGTTCATGTGTTACACATAGGCTATGGCCAACCAATTCAACTGCAAGACATTTCTTGCTGTTCTTCTTCAGACCTTTTGTAAGCACTCAGACTTCCCTCTCCAGTGCTTTCTGTTAGTTCATGCAATACCTATGCAGTGTTATCCTATAAACCAACCTCATTATCATCGCATTCTTGCCATTTGTAACCATGTAAAATAGGATCCCTGCACAATAGGATCCATGGGACAATCGTGCACCTCTAGTTCAGGGAATAACAAGTAAACAGGATTTTCCTCACAAGGGAAAAAAACCTTTGTTCTGAAAAGAAGCCAGACTTTACCAGACTTGGTAATTCTTTGGTTGATCTTCAATGATAGCTGTGATGTAACTGAGTTCCTCAAGTAGGTCTTTCTTTAGAGACTGCAGAAGAACCCTACGGAAATGCCTGGGAAAAATAAAGAATTCAGTATTAGGCATCTCCTGCTGTTTCTTTCCTCCTCCAAGCTGCTTTACAACAGAGTTACAAACTGCCTCTTCCCAAGTCCTCCAGCTCCCTTGAAAACAAGGCAGTGCTTTCTCTCACCTGCACAAAACTTTGGAGCTAAGAAAAGGTACACAGGAGAGGCAGAGCCTTTGCTCACCTGTGGAGATTTAGAGAAGGTAAGATACAGCAGCAGTTTCTCCCACTGTTTACCCTCTCAATCAAAACTTGCCCTCAGGTTTTCTGACAAACACACTGAGCTACAAACACAGACATGAGTTTTCCTCTTAATTGTAATGAGATCTGGAGAAAAAAATAAAGAACAGCAGAAGAAACTCCTGCTGCTTCACATCTCTAACTTGCAATGCAAGGGAAGCTGTTAGAGACTGATGCAAACCTTGGCCAGAGGACTAGAAGCATGTGGCTCTGACATAATGAGTTGGGGATACCTGTATTTGCTTAAATACATATATTCTGCTTTACCAGTCCATAGAAGGTTCTAAAAGTGGCTTATATTTGCAATGGTATCTCAAGAAATCAAATACATATGCCACAAAGCAGTACTGAAACCTACAGGCTGTCAACCAAGCTATACCACATTAAATTTATATGTCTCTCTGACATCAGGAAGAGGGAACCTACGGCTCTCTGAATTTTGTGGGTCTACAACTTCCTTCTTGCTGGCAAGATCTGATGAGAGTTGGATTCGCATATCATCTGGAGGGCCACAGACTCCTCTCCTCTGCTTACCACTACTTTTCATACCTCACCACAAAGAGAAGGCCCTCTTTAGTAGATTGCTCAACCTGAGAAGTAAGAAAGTACAAGTCATGCTGGATCGGACAAAACGCTTCTTCTCCTCCTACAGTGGTCAAGCAGATGAGCCTGCCAGTAGGGCATGACGGACCCACCTGGTCATGATCTCAAGCAACGGGTATTGAAAATAAAGCCTCTGACAATGGTTACAGCCTTCACTGCTAGTAGCTGTTGACAGGGAACCCATAGGAGGATGCTTTCCATATGCCCTGCAGCCAGGCCATTTAGGGTTTTCAAAGTGAACACCAGTACTTTGAACTGGGCACAGAAATAAAGTGGCAACCATCAGCTCTTTGAAGAGAGCTGCTATATAGCCCTTCCAGCTTGCTCCAGGCAGAAGTCTAGCTGTTACATTTTGGACCTACTGCAGTTTCTGGACACTTTTTGAAAGGTGGCCAAATATAGAGCCCAGTGTTGTAACTTAATCTAGAGGTCAAAACCTCAGGCTATGGTGGTCAAGCCTCATTTGACAAGCATGAAATTAACAGGAAGAATTCCATTTGTTTACTTTGCAGCAAGGCACAGAAATGTAATATTTTAAACAGAGTCTGCCCACTGCTTTCTTCTTCTCAGAGATCATTATGAAGCTGGCCAGACAAAGATAGGATAAAACAGGCTTCAAATCAACAGGCAAATGTCAACTTGCCTGACTAGCCCTGAATCTTCCTAGCATTCTTCATATATACTCAGGAACTCCTAAGTTTTGTAAAAACACCAATTGCTACAGTAAATGAATGCATTACTACATACCACACAGTGTAGTTTGCAGCATTAAGATCAATGGCATCACTTGTTAACTTGAACGCTCTTTCACTCCTTTCATCGCGTTGCAGAACCGCTCGGAAATAATCGTAGACATCTTTAACTAGACAGAAAAAAAATGTCAAATCACTTTCTAGCCTTTCTTGGTCACCTTTTGGTCCTCCCATCTCTACATCCAAATTTGAACTGCCAGAACCAATCAGTATCTCTGCTCACTCAGCCTCTGGGATGGCTCTCTTCAAGTCCCCACACTGTTTCCCCATTCAATACAAACTCAAGTCCTTCTCTTTACAGCTCGCCACAGATCTGTACCCATCTCTTTTTTGCCCCTACATCCCCGTCCAGGACTTTCATTCCTTTAACTCTTGAACCCAGTGCTGCCTTTAAGTCCACTGCCTTCTAGACCAGTTCCTCCCATTCTCTTGCTGTCTCTTAGGCCTGGAACTCTTTCCCACATCACCCATAGTGTTATCTCTCTCTCAGTCTTACCTAAATGCTCCCCTAAAAAGGTTTTAAACATTAATTCACACGCCAACTGAAATTAAAACAACAGAGATGCTCATATTTATTGTTTCCTTTGCTGTTCTTCCATCTTTTCACTGTTTAAAGTTACAAACCTATGCAGAGTCGGAAAGAGAACTGCAACTCCCATCATGCCCCAGCCAACATGGCCAACTTGAAAGAATGCTGGGAGGTGCAGGACTTTGTCAGTCTAATCATACATAGGATTATGTCCTTATATTGTAACCTCCTAGGAGCAAAGACTTCATTTGGTTATTTTAAACCACCATGTGTACATTAAATGAATCATTCTCACCTAGAAAAGCACCTGGAAGCACATTTTTAGAAGAGCCTACCCTTTTGCTGCTTCTGAGTATCAGCTAGTAAGCTTACCTGGATGTAGTTCATTTCTGCTTGTTAATATAGCAGGATTTGTGTTGGTAACCTCTCAGCACCTAAACTATCTACAAGGACTAAAGTCCTGACATCTCTGAACTGAACATTAACAGTTTATTTTACCTTTTAATAGTTAAGGAATTTTAATCCTAGTTCTCTAATAAGTAGGTAGAGTTATAATTCATCTTCAACTCCACCTTATTGCCAAAAGCCATGTGCACTGATCTAATCTCATACTTTCTTTCATGTCCTAAATAATTTCATTTGCCTTTCTGCTCTGCCTGCTCTCCCATAAAAGAAATAATAGTGAAGAACTCCAGATCCTTGTTTTTAAAAACACATGTACAAAAACTAATGCATATTTACTCTGAATCATGTTGCACTATGTTCAAGGAAGTTTACTTCAACAAAGGCGTACACAGGATTACAGCATAAATTTATCAGCAATTCTGCAAATGTTTGATGAATGAGTAAAAAAAAAACACAAATAACTACTCTCCAGGAATACAACTAAAGGACAGTGCAGGACCTGAGAAAACAGAGACAGAGGCAAAGATCTGAGGGGATAAACAACTATGGAGCAACATCAGCCAGAAGAGCAAATTATGGCTATCCGTTTATTCATACATAGCCTACTTTTATAGCCACATTTCCATACAGACCCCCATTGTGGAAATTCTGCTTGTGTACTAAAATGTCCCCAAACTTACATTTTTCACTGTAAATAATCTGAACCACTGGATGTGGTCCATCATCCTGAGGAACTGGCTCAATGTCAGCCCATTCCTTCCTGTCCCTGTAAAAGATATATATCCAGTAAAAGTAAGGCATGCCAAAACAAAACAAAACAAACAAAAAAGCTGTTATGTTTAAACTCCACTTTATCAAGCACAGGAATTTCAGGACAGACTCACAAGGCTTCTGTACAATCTAAAATGCTGAGATTGTGCCATACACTCCCTTTTCAACCAGTGAGGTCACAAAGTAGTTTACAGAAAGTGAAACAGTCATTTCTATAAATTCATCAGTATTTTATGTTTATTTTATTCTTCCTGATACCGTGCCCTTTCCCCACAAAATGAGTGCCTTTCCTTCTGTGGTCAACCACAAATTAGCCCCTCTCCAACTATCTTGACTAGGATAAAGGAGCTGCTGAAAAGAAAGCTTAGCCTTTTTTAGGAAACCAGAAGCTGGCATTTCGCAGCTTAGTAATCAAACGCTACCGCAGAGATGCTAGTTCATCTTGTTCCTCTGGGCATTTACAACCCACATTTCTGTGATAAAAAGAAAGCCCAAGACAGCTTGAACAAAATGCATAAAATCACAACAGAATTAAACTAATTGTATCCATAACATAAATCGGAGTTAAAAACAACTTCCACCTCCTCCACGCTGGCCACAATCCTGTGCGAACTTAATTGGGAAAGAATCCAAATGAACGCAACGGGATTTACTTCTGAGTAGCCCCGCATAGGATCGCCTGGCAGAACTTCCTAAAAACACCCCCGTACGTGCCTGTACAGCACGTAGCCGTTGGATTCCAGGGGTACCCCACACTCCAGCAGCCCGCTATCTCCGGCGGCCTCCGCTTCTGTCTCCAGGCGAGGTACGTAAGGGTCCGGCTCCAGCCTGCCTCCCTCGTCCGCCATCACTGCACTGCCTCCCGCCCACCCCGGAAGAAAGCCAGCTAGACCGAGGCCCTATGAGAGAGAAAAGGAAAGCTCCGCCCCGTACCATAGACATCAAGCATAAAGTCTAGAGTGTCTCCACAAGGAACACCCTGCACAGCGGAAGCCATAGAGATGTCTCGGTGGAGTGTCTATCTTTTCCGCTGCAGGGCTGTGATGGGAGCAAGGCGTGAGCTTTGACCATAGAGATTCAGGAAGCCGACGATCCCGGTGGACTGATAAGAGATGCCCGAACGAGCACCGCTCTCTTCCTTGGTTCATGTGCACTCCCGGAAACAGAGTGAAGGGAAGACGTTTCAATTTAATTGCCAAATAAAGAGTGCCCCCGGCATAAAAGGCGCCAGAGAAAGAGGGGACGAATTATGCAGTTGCTGCTTCTGCTGTCACACAAAATGCAATAGGAATCGTGCAAAGAAAAACATGCATGTGTGTCCTCTTTGTTAAGCTTGGTTTGAGTTCATCCTGTTGGCTAGCCTTACTTGGATTTTTTAAAAAAGGCGAAGGATTACGTTTTCAAAACTTTCTTTGGGGTTTTTTTGTATTTTTTTATTTATAAAACACTATAGTAAAACTCCTACCCTGAATGTCAGTGGTTGTTTTCTTGTTAGCGGTTGTTTTCTAATGTCTTCCTCTGTCGCGTACTCAAACAATTTAGGTATGTTAAACCTTCACAATTAGTGGGGCTACAGGTTAATCCCTGAGAAAAATGATACAGGGTTGGAGGGCGCAAATGGCACGATTATTTCAAAGTACACAAAGGAAAAGTTCCTGTTACCTGGCTGCTATGTTTGCCATTTTATCAATTTCTGTTCTTTGCCCCGCACATGGAACCCTCAAAAGACACGCAACCTGAAACCGGAAGTTATCAGTCCATGTGACTAGTAAAAGAATCTCTTTGCTGCTGTTGAAATGGCAGGCGCAGGTTGTCCTCTTGTGGAACTTCTCTAAATTCTAGTCTCTTTGTTGCGGAGAAGTTTTGTACTAGTGTCAGTGCAGAGGAGCAGTGAAAATTAAGAAACAGTCCTAGGCCAGTCTACTCGGGAGCAAGTGCCATTGAGTTCTTTCCCAAGTAACAAATGTTGAAAGAAGACACACAGTTTCTTGCAGCAAAATCTAAGCCAGGTATGTTATCCAAAAGACGAACACATTTATTCTGGCATTGGATGATGCCCATGAAACTTATGTCATAATAAAGGCCCTTTGATGTATGGGAACACAGCCCAAGTCTTACAGCTTGACCCTAAAATGCACGTTTATTTTATTTATTATTTATTTAAAGGATTTAATACTGTTCCTTTAGTCAAATGACTCAGGACAGTTTACATCACATTAAAATGTTACTCAGAAGTAAGCCTCAGTGAATGCTAATAGGGTTTATTTTCAAGTGTTTTACTACATAAATAATTGGAATGTATTTATAACATATTATAATTTATGTAGTGTTTCTTTACCCTCACCAGGCCATGCTGACCCTTGACACTGACCTAAATCTAACTGTGTGCTGCCTTTTCATGACGTCCCAGATCAGCTGTTTGGGTGATCAGGCTTAGAACAAGGCTTGAATAGATGCCTAAGTAAGCTATTAAGAGTTGCTATGTATTATTATGTATTAAGAGTTGCTATGTATTACTCTCCTGTACAGTACAGAAGAGCTCGCACTTTGGAGTCTCAACATTCCAACATTTAAGATAATGCATTCCTTACCAGTAGACATTAAACTATGTTTTAATTTTTTCAAGTGGTGAAGCTGAAGTAACCACTTGATTCCTATGGGGGGCAGAGCAGGCCTAGTAACTCGCTTATGTGCCTAATTCGGATGACACCATCAACTAGGGAAAAAATCTGCAATAAATTCAAAGGAGTGCAGGGTTCCATGAATCCAGCTTGTGAATTCCACAGTGGGCCAGCTTTTCCTGAGGTGTGTGGACCAGCAGGCTTTTTTTAAACTGTGGGAGATTTGCATTAATTCATGCTAATACACACACTTTGGAATGTGTAATTCTCATACATTCCTTAAAAAGTTCAGTTGTGTTAAGAAGCAGGTGATAGAATGAAAGGCATCTGACAATCCATGCAACACAACTCAGTGAAGACAGAAAATTCAATTCTGGGTGACTGTTGGAGGGAAGTGAATAGAAAACCAAAAGGGAGAAGAAATGAAATGAAGTATCTGGGAAGACAACATGGCAGTCTGAAATCTTGGATAGCACACTGCATCATTTAGTTGCAGGTCTCATTGTAAGAACCACAAAAGATTTTAATCTGAAAACACTTCCCATAGAACTAAGCACAAGGTGACAGGATCAGTATGTTTATGATATCAGAGAATTTTTGATGCAGTATCAGTTGGATATTTAATACCTTGATGGGAAGTTTTTACATTTATTTATTGTAAGTTGCATCTGTCAAAAATGTCTGCATTGTAGAATTTTATACATAGGGAACTTCAGGAATGGTAGTTGATTGACTTCCCAAGATCTTTTCCATAGCTAAGATATTTCCATTCTGGGATTTCCCTGGATCTGTTGGTGACCATCAGTTTTTCCAGGCCTAAATAATCCCAGAGTTAACCAATCTTGTTATTTCTGATGCTGGTAATGAAATCCATAAAGCAGCCCAGCAACTTATGAATGGTCCACAACAGAGAGCAAGATGTTGAAGCTCAAACCAGTTACTCACCAAGGGACTCCATAGGTTTTATGGCATATAATTCAACACTGGAGAAAGGAAGCTGCCACGTTGCCTCAGGATAGTGCCAGTCCTGCAGAGAAAATAAATCTGTCAAACAGGCAGAGAACACAGAAGCTCCAAGGGAAATGGAACAAGTTTTGGAAAAATTTAGTGGGCAGACATTTTGAGGGGGAGCATCGGGAATCCTTTTGCAGGTGCCAAGATAGGTCTTCTTGGATACAGCCTTGCCTTGCACCCAGAACAGTCCCTTCCAGCAATGCCCAGCTAGGTGCAGGATGCAGAAATTTGCTATGAAAACGGGGAAGAGGTTACATGCGCGCCCCCATTTTCAATTGCCAAAACTCAGCTGTTGACTGTGGATTTCTTACTTTTGTTCTGTTTTTCTTGCCACGTTCCTATTTTTTTTAAATATATATATATGTTGGGAGCTACCTCGAGAAGGCGGTAGACAAACATTTTAAGCAACTACATGTTAAGGATGCTAATGATATGAAATATGGCATTCCTCTCTACGAAGTGATGGGTATGTGTGTCCCGAATTAGCTGATTTCCGATCTTCCCACTCGGAGGGCTTTTCAGCGCGGCTTCTTATACCAGGAGTGGTTTTAGCCTGACGCAGCTCATTCTCAAATTGGCAACTCGCTTTAGCATAATGCAGCAAGCATCCTGCAACCGCTGCCTTCTTTAATGCACTCTTAAACACAAGAGCCTGAAGCCATCCGAGAAACCAGATTAGCGTTGTCCTTTATTTAATTTCCTCGCTCCCCGCCCGCCCCCCGCGAGATCCTCCCGCTGGGGACTTCCAAGAAGGGATGTCTTCACAAATATGAAGACACTACTAAGGTAATTAGTCTAAGTTTGCTTTACACAACCCGAGAAGGAAATATCCCGGCACCCCACAGCCAGTCATCATTGCCGCGCTCCAAAGCGGGACACGTGAAATCCTGGAATGTGAATTGTGGAATTGACTCTCCCCGATAGGTCTTCAGATGGAAGGCTTTGCCAGGGTCCCTCTAAGATCCACTCCAGGTTTAACCGTAAATCCTGGAAGGGGGGGGGGGCGGGATACAAACTGAAAGTAAATGCAATCGTAGCGACCACAAGGGAGAAGAGCCCGGGTGAGTTTTTTGTATCTCCAAGCGCGATGCATGCTGCAAGATCTTCCGCAAGCGATTGCTAGGATGTTGCAATGCTGCGAGGGATATAAAGCGGCTATTGTCTGTTTTCAGGGATTGGGAAAGGCAGGAAAGATGCTCTCTGTGAAGTTCAGTTGTGTGTGTGTGTGTGTGTGTGTGTTGAACCGTGTGTTTAGGAAAAGGGCCATTTCATTTTGCAAGGTAAAACATAAATCATCGGGAAGGGAAAACATGGCAGGGAATTTTGAACGGAGAGGATCAGCTTTATTTATTGTCCAGAAGGCTGATGGGAAAATGTTAACTATTTTTTTAAAAACCCTTGTGTCGGGAACTGCTTCATCGACGATTTCTGCTTTGTTTGTTCGTTCGTTCAAGGCAGAGGAGCAGGCCAGGAAAAAAAGTTGGCAACTTTGCTTCTGGAAGCTTCCAAATATCATATCCATTCTTCCCCACCAAGCGTTCGGTGGGGAACCTTGTAAACTTTACATAACGTTAGTTATTAGTATTAATAGAATGCTTCCTTGATAAAGAGCCCAGTCTCTTAATCTTATTGAATCTACATGGACCACGATAACAATCAATTTGTTTTTACTACAGTTGTGTGTACTTTGTACTTGAACAGAAAAACTAGAGGCAGCCAAAATTCTGCTCCAGTTTATTTACATGATTTCTTAGCCACCTTTCAAAAGCAGTATTTTCAAGGAGCCCTGCAGTATGACAATAACACAACCTGTATATAAAATCATATTAGATGCAAACAAATTTGAATAAAACTAGTAATAATAAGATACTGTTTCAGAAAGGTGTTTTTATTTTATTTTTATTCTATTCTATTAAGGTGTATGTATAATGCAAATAGGATGTCTGTATGCTAGACAAATGGAAGGGAAAGTGTCAGTGCATTCAACATGATATAGTCTGCCTTTCCTATTCATAGGAACAAGCGTATTTCCCACACACTTTGAAATCTTTCACCATAGCCATAAAGACTTTATTTATTTATTTATTTATTTATTTATAAAATTTGTATGCCATCCAATTACTTACATCTCTGGACGGCTTTGATGCAGTGGTTTAAACTGCTGTGCTGCTAGGCTGGTTGATTGAAAGGTTGCCGGTTCAAATCTGCTCTGTCCCAGCTCCTGCCAACCTTGCAGTTTGAAAGCATGCAAATACAAGTAGATAAAAAGGTATCACTTCGGTGGGCAGGTAACAGCGTCCTCGGCTAGGAAATGGAGATGAGCACCACCCCCTAGGGTCAGACATGACTGGACTTAATGTCAAGGGGGAACCTTTACCTTTTTACTGGATGGCTTACAACATAAATAAATTGACCATCCACACTGGCTGCAAATTAATAAAATACAACAATAAAATTCAATATTAAAACATATTAAAATATTGATTAAATAAAAAGGCGTTGACCTGGGGCCGAAAAACATAATGACGGCGCCAGGTGGACCTGTCAGATGAGCGCATTCCATAGTCAGGGCGCCACCGCAGAGAAGGCCCTCCTCCGGGTACTCTGTCTCCTAACTTCTTTCACAGAGAGTTCTCGGAGGTGGGCTTCTGTTGCCGATCTCAGGGGGCAGGAAGGCAAATAGGGAAAAAGGCGTTCCTTTAGGTATCCTGGTCCCAAGCTTCAGAAAACTTGAAGCTTGTTTTGCCTAAGTATAAGGAAAGCCAAGGTTCTTGTATTTCTGAATTCCATTTCCAAAATGACACTCTATCCTGCATTTAACAATGTTAAATCATTGTTTGTTAATCATTTAACAAACAAACCCTGGTTATAAATTTGTGTCCAATTTCCTTTATATATAAAAATTAAACTGCTTTGATTTTCTTGGCTGCAGAAATATCTCTAAACTATCTTGAACTACATGTTTGATTTAACAGATGCATTCACCATGAAGAAACCTTTATTTCAAGAAGCTGCCCTGATAACAGATCAAAAATGCACCCAATTTGGATCACTATCATTGATGGCATTTTTACCCCCATCGTTGGCGGAAATGTAGAAAGACCAGGAAACTGCAAGAGGAGCTTTTGCGGAATATGTTAAATAAACTAGAACAAGTTATGTGTGCTTTGTACACCTAAGTGCAAGGCATGAATGCAATCAGGAAGAAAAGATTTTGGGCCTCCTGCTTCTGTGTTGTTGCCTTCTTCTTTCTTCTTGTCACCCTCCAGGTACTGAATATCCTTAAAATCAGGGAATGAGTAATGAGTACATGAAAAATGACAAAAGGAATAGGGCCATTCTGTGTGGTGACGGGTCTTAAAGTGAATGAGTGCTTACGAAAAGGCAATTAACATGGAAGTTATAGGAGGAACTTATTAAAGGCCTAAACTAAGGAAGCTATGTCAGGAATGTATTAAACTCTAAACTACACATCGAGTTTGTATGTCATTCTAAATCCTTGGGAATTTAACCATGAATCCATGCCCAGGGAATCATGCACCCATGTAAAATTGCAACTTTGCTAAATTTGTTCAGAATTTCTTTTTTAAAAAGGTGGGCATGTGTGGAATGCATCAAATGCAACAGGATCACCAGGGGTTCATGGGTCCTTATTTTCCAAAATGTGCACATGTTCCCCCCAAACTCCCCAAAACTCCTAAAAAGGGTAATTAGGGAACCCCCTCAATTTCCCCCTTCTCAGCAGGATCTCCGGGGCTTGGTGGGAGAGGCTAGGAAGCCCAAACAGTTTTGTTATTTATCCCAAAGGAATGGGTCCTTGAAGTGGCAAAGCGTGATGGAAACCCCAGCAGTGGGGGACTCATGGTATGCGATAAAAGGAACAAACCCATGGGTGAATTTCTCAAAGTTTGAAGTGCCCCTTCTGCTAGCAGCCAGGAGGCACAGTTAACATTTGGGGGGCAGCTGGGACAGCAGCCCCCCCTAAAAGAAAAGAAGCCAAGGGGTTGTGTTGCAAAAAGTAGGAAGTGGCCCTGTTGTATGACGTGTGTTCTCTTGGTTGTATTTTGACAGGTCAGCTCCCTGCAGAGGGGATGGGGTGATACTTTATTATTATTTTTTAAAGTGGACAATCATAGCCAGCCCTCCCATGGTACCACTGGGGAATTTGGGGGATGTCCCAGATCAGGACTGGGAAAGCTGCCTTTAATGGTGGCTTTCACCATCTTCAAAAATGGATGAAGCCATGGCCAGCATTAACCAGCCACAGCTGCTGGGGGGTGGGGAGGTGGAGAAGCCTTACCTGACTGTCCCCAGATGTTGCTATGGGGTGCCTGGGAAAGGAACCCACCCACTAGCCCTTTGGCTAAGGCAGCAAACCCTCCTGCGACTCTTGCCAAGAGGCCCTTTGGTTCTTTTACTTGACCATGGCTTGCTTTGTTGCCTGGGTTCGGATGCACAATAAGCCATGATGGTGTTATTAAACCCTACAGCTGTGTTCACACTCAATGTGAAACCATACCTTGCAGTTGCCATGCAGCAGGGTTCCTTAACTGGCTTGTTGTGTTGAGACAGTGTTGTGGCTTCCATGCTTGCATGGTTTCCACCATTCTCCAGCATTCCTCCTAATGGTGGCAGGTATCCCATCAGCTCCCTTAGCTGAAATTCAATCCCAGGGTGCATCATTCTTGCCTCTCCCTCATTGGTCCACACACTCCCCTGGGCATGTCCTCAGCCAGTGGCTCCTGTCCCCCCACCGCCACTGCTCAACCAAAGCAACCACTTAGACCAGTGGTGGTGAACCTATGGCATGCGTGCCGCAGCGGGCACACCGAGCCCTCTGTTGGCATGTGAGCAAAGTTTCCCCAGCATCGCCCCAGCAGCCAAGCATTGAATAACAGCGCACATAGGGGCCATGCGCATGCTTGGAAAGGACTAGCGGCACCAGGCCATGACATCATGAGCCACTACTCATTAGCCACGACTCGTCCAAGCTTTTGCATGGCCAGTCAGTGTGTCGCCAAGAATATATATATTTGCTTGGACAGGCTGTGAGTTTTAATACATTTGTTTTTAGTAACACAAGATTTTAGCTTTGAGTTTTCTTATTAAAAATTGAAATTGAATATCTAAGATTTAGCAGAGATGTTCTAATTAAGAGACTGAGATTCTTTCAATGTTGCGCTGTCCCCCTGGCATATTTGAATCTGCAGCATCATATTTAGTTGTTTTTTCTAAACTAAAACCTCAGCATTCAGGTTTTATTGCAGCGTTGGCACTTTGCAATAAATAAGTGGGTTTTGGGTTGCAGTTTGGGCACTTGGTCTCTAAAAGGTTCGCCATCACTGACTTAAGATAACACTATTGCTCTAGAGTAGCACTCCCTTGAGCTGCTGTGCTCCATGCATACTCACCCACACCCCTCCTTTTCCGCAGCCCTCCCTTGCTGCAGTCTCTGCAGATGGTGCCTTATAATACATCCCACAAGAAGAGTGCTGGGTTTAGATGACACACTAAATCATGCTTTTAAATTACCGTGGCTTAAAATGTCACGTGAACCCAGTCGTGTTATCTCTCAAGTATTTAAACAACTCTGCTTAGCCTGGGTGATTTTTTTAAAAAAAGAGGAATAAAAGCAGGGATCTGCTGGCACCCTACCTGGCTGACCCTGAAGATTGCAGTAAAGAAGGGCTCCCCCCACCCTCTCCCCACCAAAGCCTTAACTGCAGCCTCCAGTGGGGGCACTCTTTCCCAGCGTTCCCCAGGATTCCCTCTTGCTTTGCTGGTAAAGCACCAGTGAGGATAAAGCAACTTATATTGTACTCCCTTTCGGAGCAATATCTATCAGGATTACGCAGACACATGTGCGCACGTGTGCGTTTGTGGATGTGCCAATGCAGCCCTCAGGGCTGCAAAGGCCATGCACATCCCTGCAGTAAGGACGCCGCTTCAGTAATTGACCGAAAAGTTGGCAGCCCTATTGAACAATGAATGATTAGAGCAATAGCCTAGCCAACTCAACATCATAAATCACTGAAGGTCACCATCCCGAAATAGCATTCTTAACTACAGTCCTATTTGGTCAACGTAGAAAGTTCAGGGGCTGTTGTGTTGTGCACGTTAAACTAGAATGAGTATGTGCCCTGGAGTTGTTTGTGTAGATTTAATTGATAAAGATGGATTTTTCTTTTCCTCTGAAAGGTGGTTGTAGAGCTTGGGAAGTCTGAAAGGATGATGACAAAAAGCTCCCTTTTGCACAGCAATGCGTTGAGAAGGGAAGAGTTGTTGACATACACTCGTCTGCTTGCAAAGAAACTGGAACTTCACAGTGACGCAAAGGATGCTTTGGACGAAGATGGACATCCCATCTTGTTGTGGTGGTCTCCGCTGACGGGAGAGACTGGGCGGCTTGGCCAGTGTGGACAAGACACTTGCTTCTTTACCATCAACAGAACCTATCAGCACCATCCCATGACAAAGGCATTTCTCTTCTACGGTAAGGTGCTGCTTAATTTTATTTTTCAAAGTTCTGAGCAGCTTTTTCCTAGCCCACACTGTGGCTGACAAGCTCCGCTAGACGAAACAAGTGGGACCGAAGGCAAAATGTGTCACTTTGGAGTAGTGGATTCAAGCCACTCCATTCCATTTCCCCTCTGTCCCAGTTTTTCAGTTTTCCTCCAAACAGTCTGCCAGCACTCCAGGGTCACTGAGCCTGAGGTCTCCTTTTAGCCCAGGTATTGGAGCAGCTCTCTGCGGCCACATTCACGAGATGGGTAAGCCAGAAGGCTCTCGGGCAGAACCGAAAAGAAGGCACCTTTCTGCTACAGACATCATCATCATCATCATCATCATCATCATTTTATTAGAACTACTACTACTATATTACAACAACCATTAATTATTATACTATAATAATATATTAATTATAATAAAATAATAATATATTATCACCTTTAGTAAATAATAACCATTAATTATTACTATACTGTACTACTACTACTAATAAATAATAGTAGTAGTAGTATAACTAAACTGCATTTTTATTTTATTGTGTTGTAAGCTGCCCCGAGGCTTCGGCAAGGGGCGGCATAGAAATGTTTTAATAAATAATAAATAAATAAAATGTATATCCCACTTTTTCTCCTTTAGTGAGGAACGCTACTGCCAGTAATTAAGCCTTAGGAGAGGTATTTCAACCTTGCAGAATGGAAACAAAACTATTAAAAAGCCAGGAAACCACCAAACTGTTAGTTGTAGGTGGGGAGGGAACAAAGTGCCTGGGGGAGGTGGCCTGTGCAAATGGAGAAGCCCAGAGGGCCAGGGGGGCTCCAAGCAGGGCGGTCATGGCCCACAGAGCTGAGAGTCATAGATTAGCCACTGGATTAAAGTTCAGTGGCTAATCTATGCTTTACTGGCAGTCCCCAGGTTACAAACAAGTTCCCTTCCTGAGTCAATGGACATTCGTCTTTCAAATTTGCATGTAAGTTGGATCACCTATAGTTGCCTCTCCACATTTGCAGGGGCTAGGGGTGTGAGACCTCTGAAAGTGGGAAAAACATGAATATCTCTAGCTTCTTGAGGACGGCCTGTACAGTGACATCTAAATTAGACCACTGAGTTGTTTCCATATCACTGTTTCTAGGTTTATGGCTTTTTCACACTCTGATCCTGTATACCTTGAAATCCCAAATCTGGCAGAACTTGCTTTTGTGTGCAATAGCCCTCCCTACTAAATTGACCGTGCTTTTAAATGCTGCAAACCCCAAGCATGAAAGATTTAGCAGAGTTGTTGGAGGGGGCAAGTGGAGGACGAACTGAACTCAGCCGTTACTGAAACATCTCTTTTGACACATTTGAGCTCAGAAGTCAATACGGGGTCAGAATGAATAACAGTGATACCAAGTCTGTGCTCACGAGGCCTTTTCATGCTTTTGTTTGGACAGAAACGCTAGACATGGACATGGGAATTCTCCAGGAAAGGTGCACTGAGCTTTCTTTTAGTAGGAATTCTATGAACCTCAATAAATGTGGATCACAAGCAATGAACATAGTTTCTTATCACTGGACTCCGGGCTTCCATAAGCATTACCATGTAAAATTTCCCTCTGCAACAGTAAGGACTAGCTATGTATATAACACACACACCGCCTTTATAACTATTTATAAATAACTACAGGGCGGAGAGAAGGTAGGCAGATAACACAAGTGGCCAATTGCTGCCAAGAACAATTCCTTTATTCCTCATTTTTTCACATATGATCGATGTTGCTTCATGCTTCACATTTGGACTGTGCATATACTGGCAATTTTGTTGTGCCTTGCCTCATCATAAGCCTATTAATGCTTCTCTGTCATACTTTGCTCTGAACTGTCATCTCTTGAATCCTTAAAAATGTATTGTCCAGCAGCTAAGATTGCATCAAATTGTATCAATTCATCGTCTGAGCTCTTTCTCCTTGAGGGTATATTTTTTTTAGACTTCTGCTTATTTATTCTTGACCTTCATTAGTCATCTGGCACCTCCCAGTTGTTTTCTCAGCAGGAACGGACCCTTTTTGTTTTCAATATCACCCAAAAGCTAGGGTCCACCACAAAGAGACAGTGATTTCCCAGTTTAACATAGTTTTCTAGACTATATCCAGTATTTCTCTAGGTCATGCATTGTAAATCTTGCTGCATAGAATTGTTTTGCAAAAGCCCCAGTTTTCTGAAATCAAAGTCAAAACATGCACAGTCCTATCTGATATACTCACAAGTAATTTCCCTTGAGTTTAATGCACTGTGCCTCCAGCCAAGGAATTAGAGATTTGTAACCTTACAGCACAGTCCCCTTCCTATCTATGCTGAAGTAAGTTCCACTGATTTTAATGGCACTTCCTCAATAAATGTGTATAGGATTGCACTGTTACACTCTTTAAAAGTATACTAAACCACCTTTATGGATGCAACTCAGAAGAGCAAATCTAATACTTAGAATTACAGAAGGAAGTCAGATGGTCACAGCTGCATTTTTAAAGCCCAAAGATTTAGAAACTACTTTTGTATTTCCCCTGGAGCTGGTGGTATATCCGATGAATTATTTCAGCTGTCAGTCATGAACTTACTTCATTATATCTCTCTTCAGGTCTGTGATAAAAATATTCTTTTCATAATACTTGTCTGAAGAGTTTTCCCTTCCTAATACAGAACCATATATCTATTCATAACTTAGATAGACCTGGAGGCTGGAAGTCAGGAGAAATTGAATTTCATTGTTTTTTTCCAGAATGTATAGCGTAATTTCTGTTAAGCAGACCAAAGGTACCTGTCACAGTGTGTTTTGACCTACAACATTTTATGAAGTCAACAGAACTGCAAAACTAATACAGTCCTCTTCATCCCATTTTTAGTGTGGCGTAAGTTCGGAGGTACGTATAACTGACTGACTAGGGACTTGTTCCTGCATAAGAGTATATGGACAGCCTCGGGTCTGATTTTCTTGCTAACAACATGGCGTGCTAGTTGCTACAAAATCAGTCCCCATCCTTGGCCGCATCTGCACCATGAGAGTCAGCTTCATGTCATCTCGGGAGCATATGTCACTCTGCCTTTTGTAGCAGTTGCCCTGAGCTAGAGGTTCAGTTACCACATATTGATAGCAAACTCATTCTCCAAACCTTATGTACTCAAAACAGAATCATCCACACCAGAGGTTGACATCAGCAGATCTGGAGAGAGTCCATGGTTTCTAGAATACACAGAAACTTTAGGGGGAAAGCCCTGGGGGAAGTAATGGGAGAAACCCCATAAAGTCTATTTATTTATCTATCTATCTATCTATTTATTAAAAGTTTTTCTATCCTGCCCCCTACAGAAGGATGCTGGTAATTGTAAGACTTTTAAAACAGTCTAAACTTACATAGGATTGTGCCCTAAGGTGCTGAAGGTCCCACCATGGGGATAGTTTTTGGCAAACTGGGGTGTTGGTGATTGTTGTGTTCTCTAGTTAATGTGCCACTCATACTGTTCCAGGAAGCACAGCTGGACTGAATCAGATGCTGTGTAATTAAGATGTGCTGTCTTTTCTATCTGTATTTTTCAACTTCTAGGTACTGACTTCAGCATTGATGCCTTACCTCTCCCTCGCGAAGTCCACCATGACTGGGCCCTTTTCCACGAAGAGTCCCCTAAAAACAATTACAAGCTCTTCCAGAGCCCCGCAATCACACTGTTCAACCACACAGCCACTTTCAGCCGCCACTCACACCTCCCGCTCACCACCCAGCACCTTGAGAGCATCGAGGCCTTGATGTCCCTGCGGTACATGGTCCCGCTGCAGGAGAAGAATCGCTTAAGGAAGAGACTCGCGCCACTTGCCTACGTACAGTCAGACTGCGACCCTCCCTCCGACCGGGACAGCTACGTGAGGGAGCTGATGAGCCACATTGAGGTGGACTCGTACGGGGCCTGCTTGCATAACAGGGACCTCCCCAAGCCTCTCAAAAACCCCGCCTCCATGGACAGCGAGGACTTCTACCAGGTCCTCGCCCAGTACAAATTTGTCCTTGCTTTTGAGAACGCCGTCTGTCAAGATTACATCACGGAAAAGCTCTGGAGGCCACTGAAGCTGGGAGTGGTGCCTGTTTATTACGGCTCTCCCAGCATTGAAGACTGGCTTCCGAACAAGAAGAGTGCAATTCTCGCCACAAGATTTTCCAGCCCCAGGGAACTGGCACAGTATGTCAGTGCTCTGGATGTGGACGACAAGGAATACGAGGCCTATCTTGAATGGAAGCTGAAAGGCAACATCTCCAATGAACGACTACTCGCCGCTATCCAGGAACGCACGTGGGGAGTGCAAGATATCATGAAAGAGAATTACCTAGATGCATTTGAGTGCATGGTCTGTACGAGAGTCTGGGAAAATACCCGGAGACAAGCAAAGGTAATGTTTAGTGTGTCTGGATTGCTAGGCAAGACCTGCTCCATAGACAGACCTTCAAGTGGACTTGGGGACAGAAGCCAGGAAATCCCCCTAGAAAAAGGTGGCTGTAATGTTATTGCTTGGGCTGAAAAGGTCTTCAGCCACTTGCAAAGGCTAATAGAAATGCAGTAGTCAAACAATGCAATTAATGCAGTGGATGGATTTCAAGCAGCAACTTCTCAATAAATTGTTAACTAAACCCCATATGCTTGTGAGACAGTTGCGATACAAAGAAAACTGAAAAACATAAGTGGGGAGAAGCCAAGCTTTCTTGTGGATGGTGTGAGTGTGCTTTTGGCACCCCCAAGCTCTTTCTATGGCAGAAGTCTCCCATAGACTGCAATATTCTGTGAGTTCAAACTCCTATCCAATCCAGGTACATTCTTGCAGGGAAATAGTTCACCAGACCCTGAACTGCGAATTCACAACTACCAGCTTCAGTTTCCAGTTGGTAGGTCATGACCTAATGCTGGATTCTATTCTCACTTAATGTGGGTTGTACACAACAGCCATCATTTAGACACACACATCTGCAACAAAAAGTTGCCGTGTAGAAGGCTTTTTTGTCAGGACATTCCATTTCATTTTTCTTTCCAGCTGGGTTCCTTTCTACACCCCGACAGTCAGTCAGTCAGTCAGTCAGTCAGTCAGTCAGTCAGTCAGTCAGTGAGCGTTTCATGCTCCCTGACTATGCTCAGACTTCATTAGACTTGTTTTTTCTTCCCAGAGCCTCTTTGATACCTGGTAAAATATGAGATTGACCCTGTGTCTGTGGAGACCTCCCTCTTGGGTGTGGATGGTGCTGTTTTGGCAACATAAGCCTCGGAACTCGGACTACTTTCTATTATTTCAATATAGCCCTCATGTTATTCAGTGGTAACAACAACCTCACACAGTCACTTCAGTAACGTCTGGTGATGTATAATAATGTTTAGAGATTCACTCACTGCAGTTCCAAAAGATTAAAGATTGGCAGGTATTTTGTATCCAGGTCTCTCTTGGCAGATTTGTTGGTTGTCATTCTTCCTGTTTGGGTCTAAATGCATCCAGCATGTTTCAGTCTTCCAGAACTGTGCCATGCGAACCTGTAAACCTTGTTCTGTCGTGCGTGACTTGATCAAAATGCCCTTGTGATATCGCTGGTAAAGGCGTGGGCTGAATTTAGCTGTATTTCTCACCATTGCCATGTGCTTCTCTTTGGAACGAGACAAGGGAGGTTGGGGTTTATATGAGCTTCAAAATACATTGCAGCAGTGATGCAACCATTTTTCCTGCACTTTTTAAGGGAAGGAGAGAAAGCAAAAGAAAAAGCAAGGGGGGAAATAAAAAAAGAAGAAGAAATACTGCATTATTATATTTTATTATTTGATGATTTTCCTCAAAATCTCCTGTTTGGGTGGTTGATCAGCCCCTGCAGTTTTCCAGTATCAGATTTCCTTGGCCATTGACTGAGAGAGAGAAAAGAAAAAGAAAAGAAAATCCCATATTGTAAGTTGGCACTAAAAAGGAAGCCTCAGGGCTGGAAGGCTAGGGAGTGTTTCCCTCTTTTAGCAGAGAGGAAAGTATACTCATCCCTGGATCTCCAGTACTTCATGGGGGCTAATCCAACTCAGATTGTGTTCCTTTGTCTTTTGCCAGGGTATGTTACCAAGAAAGTGGAACGCTGCACCTACTCACCTGAGCTGCCCCAAACCTCAAGCATTTGTTTTTCCAAACGTGCGTGGAACAGCCCTGCAGGAGCTGTGGATACCCAGCTTTGAACAGTCAAAGAGAGAAGCACGTGCGTTGCGACAGCTGGTTGAAAGGAACAGAAATTTCACCGCTCGGGAGTTTTGGTCTCTGGTGTTCAGAGAGTGATTTAGAAAGACAATTGGCCCTTGACTCACACTTGGAAGACAACAACAACTAGGAAAATCTTCCAGAAAAGGCTGAGCCTATAACATAACCATTGCCTTTAAATAGCCTTAAAGACATAATATAGGAAGCAGTTTTAACAACTGAGAAAACATAGTATTCAGTGAATACTAATCCATAAAAAGAATTACCCAGTTGGGTCATCTTGTAGTACATTTCTGTACTAATATTTAGTATAAATTATTGCTATGTGTTGTTTATATAATTAATACTTAAAATATTAGGGTCAGAATGCAGTAAAGTCTACGGTTTTCTTTCCCGGCATCTGTGTGGTTACTTCTGCCTCTGCGGTTGTTCCCAGGAGGGCAATGTATTTGTCAAAACTTTCCCCCAAGCAGCCCCGTTTCCTGGCATGTTTAGAAACTGCTCAAGCAACAGACCGTGTGCAAGGGGTTAGGCAATGTTGCTCATGTCCCTTATCAGAAAGCCAAGCCATATGGGAGAAGGTCTTTTGGCACAGATCCATGACCTGTGCAGGGGCAAGCAGGCTGCGAAAGGGACCTGGGAAAGAGGTCTCAGAAGGAATGACTCGTCTGGGCATGGGGTGGATGATCCCTGTCCCTGGAGCAGTTCACTGAGCCACCACAAAGTTCAAATGATGTGTGTCGTTTCTTTCCGTGGCCAGAGGGCTAGGATGTGGATTGTGCTCTGGTGTGGAAAAGGACCCATCCTTCACAGTCCTTGTCAGATGTTATCTAGCAGCTGTATGGAGAGGCAGCCTTTAAGCGCTCTGATAATGCTAGAGGAATGAGGACTGCCATAAACAAAGGGCATAAACAAATAGGATGTTTTTCTTGGCCTTTAAAGACCTGTGTGATGTCAGATGATCAGGTACTCAGACTAGGTGCCTCGGGGGCCAAGCAACTTGGGACTGAGAGCACGCGAAGTCCTCTTCAGGCACAGGAAAGGAAATGGGGGCTATGCCATCTAGGCCTGTGTCATGATGCTCCCGATTGACCCTAAATACCAAGTTCTGGCCTTTTGCCATGGCTTGGTCCCAGCTGGAGCTCGAGCTCCTGACTGCAGGGATGTTGAGTTGAAGGATGCCCCCTGCCAGCTGCCCACGGCAAGCCCAGCCAAACGACAAGCAGCAATTCAGCTGATGTCGCCTTTTTTGGCATGCTGAGTACAACAAAAGGGCAGGGAATCATCAGCTGAATTCATGCTTGGTACCCAGCAGTTAATAAAACGAAACACAATATGCAGGAGCTTGGCCAGAAAGAGAAAACTGGCAGCAGTGGCCTTGTAGAGGCTTTGATGCGAACATGCTCTCTTTGCTGAGTGCAAACTAAGGGACTTGGAGGAATGTACTGTTTTGTAGCAAGACCTAAGAGGGCTCACGTACCAGAAGGTAGGTGCCCATTAAAAATAGCTGACTGCTCTCGGTTGTGTATCTAATTCGTGAGAGCCATAGCTTCCTTTCCCTGACAATCCATGTCATCACCAGTTATAGCTGCTGCAAGTGTGACCTCTGTGACCAAACACCCACGCAGGAGGATGGCTGGATCCAGGCACCGCTACTGGTACGTCCGTGCAGTGCCAATCCCCTTGGCATCAGCAGTTCTAACCGAAACTTGGCAGGCTGAAGTCCCCCGATGCAGAGGAAGAATGCAAAATGCATTAGCACTTGGCACCCGTTTGCTGAATTCCAAAGTCAGACTGAAAAGTAAAAGTCCTGGTTAAGATTTATGCACCCTCCAATGTTTAAAAATGGAAGCTTAAAAGGCAGGCACCGTCCCAAATCCTTGGGGGACTCGTGCTGTCTCTCAGGACTCAGCAGCAGATTTATGGGACTCTCCAATCCATGCCTACTCAGAACCCCTCCCGTCTCAGCAGCACTCATGCCTAAGTAGCTATATCCAGTGTTGTCGTCCTAATTTTCTCCCCTTAGTACAACTTGTGGCCCATCCAGCCCAGCACAACCCACACCCCTTGTGTGGCAACCTCCGAGGGGCTTGTAACTTCAAAAAGGGGTGTGCACCCCGGCAGATCCCATTTGTAACCAGTGGGGCTGCATCGATGGAAGCAAACTGACTGGGATGCTGTTTACCACTGGAATATCCCAACAATTGGAATATTGTTCCTTGGGTCAAGAAACTGAAGGTGTAGGTTTGCTGTACGGTCTCCGTCTAGTGTTTAACTTCTGCAAGGCCTTATTGACAGGATACTACCAAATGTACTCTGTCTGGTCCTAATCGGCAGTGAGATTTCTTGCTGGATTACTTGAAAAGCAGAGTCAGGATGGGGCACTAAGACCCCCAATTCCCCCCCCCCCTTGATAAGTGGCTTGTTGGCCACTTAGTTGCCCTGGGGGGCATCCCTTGCCTTTCTTCCTTTGCCCATGATTAAAGAAGGTGGGGGCAAGAGGAAGATTTGCCCCAGAGGTTGCCAATTGTTGACTGTTCCTATGCGCATTCAACATGGACATCCTATGTGCATCCACCCTCCAAGAATGGTCATTGTCTGATGCTGTGAATATGTTACGTCAGTCAGTCGTGAAGTTATGCCCGACCCATCTTCACCCCGTGGACAACATTCCTCCAGGCTCTCCTGTCCTGTGAAAGCTGTAAATAAGAACCACAAATAATTACCAGGGTGGGTTTAGACAGATATTGGATGCTTTTAACAAGCTTTGCATGATCTAATGCTAAAATCAAGCAACACTTAAACCAAATGGGAGCTCTGCAGGCTACTGCAGCTCCCAGCCTAAAACATGCTTATCCAGAGATGAGTCTCATTGATTAAAATGTTGCTGCTTCTGATTAAGCAGGCTTCATATTGCAGCCTGGTGCAATGAATCTTTGTTTGGAAGTTTCACCACGTTCAGGAGGGTAAACTCTTAAGGAAATGTGCCTGCTGTGGGATTAATAAATAGCGTATATAGTGCAATTCTCTGTATGGCTTCTTAAAAACAAGGCCTTTAGAAACCAGTGGGACTTTTGGGTGTAGGTTTGTAGCCTTTAGCACAGTTGCAGCTCAGTCTTGTGCTTGGGTGAATCTTGGTGCAATCCATGCATGTTTAGACAGAAAAAAATCCTACAACCCCTCGCATTCTGCAGTCAGCACTGCTGTTAGGAATCCCGTAGTACGTCTGAGTAGCCCAGCTTAACATGATGAGAGCATCTTAAATTATTCTTATATGTTTCAAGTATTATTACACTTCAATACCTCCCGGAGCCAAAGCTCTCTGGGTGGTTTGCAACAATAATCATGTCACCCATCCAGATTTTAACCAGCCCTGACCCTGCTTAGCTTCCAAGATTAGGCAGGGTCAGGCGCTTCAGGATATAGGCCAACTTAAACCAGCAAGTCATGCTGTGGTTTCTGAATTGGGACCCAAAAGCATTGAGGTTGGAAGATTTGTATAACCCCCCTAGGCCAGAACTTGCTAACTTTAATTAAGCTATAACCATCTAGTTCCCATCTAAAGAATTCCATAGGCCACTACCAGCTTGCATTATTTTTAAAACAATTGTTCTTTGTTGCCCAGAGTTATTGGCTGCCATGTTGATTAGTAACACATGAGTTTTGGAAAGAACAATGCAAATAAACTTTTGAAAAAGAACTGAGTGAGATGGCATTATTTCTGTATCGAAGTATGTTATTTGCCTTCCTTCCCAAAATCCTATGTAAAAGGATTTACACTGATCTGTGCAGTGACAAACTTAATGGAACTTACCAATGGAAATGTCTGTAGTGGAGTGTTTTGAAGAAATGCAGGGCAAGTAAACAGTGTTACTGGCAAGCTGGAGGAAACTGCAAGATGTCTTCCAAAAGGCCTCCTCAGACCACCCTGGTCACTCAGTTGCTCTGCTTTCTCTCTCCAACCCCATCACAGTCTCTTGGTTTCTTCCACTGCTTCTCAGGCAGATGGGAAGCAGCAACACCATTCCATTTACGGAGGTGGTCGGGTGTGCTGGGTAGCAAAGCTCTGGAACACCTTCTGGATAACTTCTGTAAAGTTTTGGAGGGAAAAAGCAAAATGAGGCCTATCTGCTCTGTCCCCACCTTTTACCAGGTTGCAGAGACAGAACATGAGTGGTACTGGATCCCACCACTGGCCCATCTAATCCAGCTTTCTGGTCACACAGTGAAGCAGCTGGCTGTGGGAAGTCTGCAAGTGGAACATGAGCGGAGTGGCATGTTCCTGATTAAGTCCCCAGTAAATGGCATACCAATGGCCTAACAAAGATGACACACACAGACACAAATGCACTCACCCTGCGATACCCAGTGCTGTCGTTTGGGAGCCAGTCCAAGCACATCAGCGCAAGTGTGTGGAGCTGTGGTGCGTGTGCATTTGTATCTTCTTTCCAGGGCTCAGAGTCAAGATGTCCATGACCCCCAAAACAACACATGGTGTGATGCTCAGTTGCTCCCTTCTTACTGCAAGCCCTTGCACCTCTCCTCTTCTGACCTCAAATCCACATTTGAGGCAACACCTACAGCGGAGAAGGAGGAGCTGTCTTCTGCTTGTGTGCATGCATACACAAGAGCCTTCTTCATGGCTGGGTTCTCCACATTCCAGCCATGGATTTCATTCAGTGTTTGGGATTTCACATAATTTTATTCCTGTAACCATGATATAGATTATCCATCCAGACCAACCTTCTACCATAACCATGGACTTTCTGCAGCAGGACTTTTTAATGGAACAACGTCCCCCACCTTTGTGTTTTAACATGCACACCCACACCCACAAGATGCTGAGTGTCTGTGTGCATGCATGCGTGCGCGTGCACATGCACGTGTGTGTACACACACGTTATAGATAGGTAAAGTGGATAGTGATCTGTAACATACCCCCCTCTTGGGCGTCAGACTGACTCCATTCCAGTAGCCTACAG